AAATCTCTTGCTAGTTTTTTCGTCTATACGGCGGAGAGCATACTCCGTGCTATGTTGGTTTTGGCGATCTACATGGTGTCGGTGTCGTCGTCGATATTCTATCGGCTCTGCTGCGCTTCGTTTCGTCTGGTTCAGGACTGCCTGACTTACCCGGTCGCGTTGCGTCTTAGCAACCGCGCAGCGCTCACCGCCTCGCGCCTGTGAGCGACTCCCAGACGATAACTCTGAGTGCAGTGTCTGTGTGTCCTCGTAAAACACATTTCATGATATATTTGATCATATTTGAATAATTTTTAATTGGGACGTCGGATTCGTTTTTAATATAATAATACGATATTGGACATTTCATCGGAAGAGCTTGGAATTCTTTCACGAGAATACGGCTCTTCCCGTCGTATATTCGTGGCGAAGTGTGGAGAGCCCGACTCGACGAAAGAAGCCGCCCTGAGGGAAGAGAGAGAGCCGCGCACATCAACCATGAATAACTCCGGACCGTTCCCGTTCGAGTACACCCCGAGCGGACAAAACATCAAGATACGCAAAGAGCAGGTCGTGTTCAACCAACATGGCGTCGCCATTCTCGTCAGTCCGGCCGTCAACCAATCGCTGGACGCGGCGAGCGAGATGGCGCGTTCGAGAGTCGAGCGACTCACGTCGCCTAGCGACGACGATCGTCTGCGACACTACGCCGTGCAGGGTCTCTACCTGCGCTCGCTCTACAAGCAGCGCCGCCTGACGGACATCGCCGTGCACGTCGGCGCGCAGACGTTCCACGCACACAAGATCGTTCTGACGTGCCGCAGTCAGCACTTCGCCAACATGTTCCGCCGGAAGACGCGTCGCGGCGCCTCCGCCGTCGCCGACGTCACGCTAGAGGGCGTGGCGGCGAGCGCCGTCGGCGCGTTGCTCGATTACTTCTACGGCGGCGGACTGACGCTCGACTGTCGCAACTACGCCGACGTGCGCGCGGCGGCGGCGCTGCTGGGAATCGACGAGGTGACGTCGGCGTGCGACGCGTTTGCCGACGCTCTCGTGTCGACGGACACGGCGCTGCCGCTGTTCGCGCTCGCGTCTGCTTACGGACTCGACGACGTGCGCCGACGCGCCAGCGGCATCATCTGCCGCAGTTTCGGTGACGTCATCGATTCGGAGGCGTTCCTCAACCTGAGCGCAGACGTGCTGTACGACATTCTTGTCAACGATGATCTGCAGATAGACAGCGAGCTGCAGTGCTTCCAGGTATTTAGTTGATAATGCATTTATTTTATTTTTTTAGTTAGTTAGGTAGTTAGTTAGTTAGTTAGTTTGTAAGTTATAGTTAGTTAGGTAGTTAGCTAGTTAGTTATTTTGTTTAGTTCATTTTTTATTTGTATTTATTTATTTATATTATTTGATTTTTTAGTTGTAATTAATTAATGAATTATAAGATATAATAATATTTCACTTTAATGATTATAAGGTGCCTAATAACTGATAAAAGAAATATGTATTTATATGTATGTATATATATTAATTATTATGGACATGTAAGTGTGAGTGTGTTTAAAAAGTGAATCGAAATGCTCGCTACCCTGGGGTCGTCTGGCTAGGGATAGCCTCACGTTGATTCCATGTTGGCAGGGTTACTGTGATAGTCTTCTATCCATCCCGGTATTTCGACCCGTATGTTGAGTCCGTATGGTTGGATGGTGTTTAGATTCATTATTATTATTTATTATACAAAACGTTGCGACTATGACCGATGTTACGACTGACATTTTTTCTAAACGGATTCCCGGTTGCCCCGCGTTACCATGTATATAGGCGGTGCTGAGATGGCTTGATTACGACACGGAGATGCGAATGCCGGAAGCTGCAAGACTCATGGCCACCGTCCGTTTCCGCGATCTGTCCACGGAATCGATGTTTGAATGTTTGGACGCTGCACCGTTCCTTCTCACCCTCCCCGAGTGCAGGGAACTGATTCTAGCTGCTAACTGGTGAGTGCGATTATAGTATAGTAACAGTAAGCTAGTTCGCTAATAACCTTGTAACATCGTAAATATTAGTCTTCAAAGTCCAGAGAACTATAACGAAGACGGAAAGAGACAGAAAGTTGATCAAATGGACAGATCAACAATGCTAACGCTATAATGCGCGTTCTCATTGCTAGCTTTATGGCTTGATGACCATCGAATAACAAGGCAGTTAAATCTACATTCGGTAGTGGTAGTGGTAGTGGCCCTAGTGGGTATACGCGCACCGTAGAGACGGTCTATGTCTCTATTGAGCTATAATGCTCTCTCACGTGAAATCACCACATGAGCTGACCTTATGGTTTCATGGCATCGAACGATAAGTTTGTAAAATCTACTTGTGGTAGTGACAGTGGGAATCGAAAAATCGCCATTGGGGATAGCGGTCGAAAATCTGGCGCGTGCATGCGCGTAAAAACGCGTATAACCCTAGAATCTAGTTTGACCAAGCTAGCAGCAATACTCAACGCGGGCGTGCTCATCCCGTACAAAAGGACAGATCAATTATAATTGAACTATCATATAATAATATATCAACAAGATGAACATCGTAAGCATGATCACTAGCGTCCCCTTTGTATGCAAAGCCTTTAGTAGTTCTATATAATTATAAAGGGACCGTATAGTAATCTCCGCACAGCAGCGCCGCGTGGCGGTCGTTGTTATCACGTGACTGTATATCGGACAGGTACCGCACGTGTACGGCGATGAAGCGCCTTAGCAAAGCGGCATTCGTGACGTCACTGCTTCCGCCACGGCGGAGTGTCTCCTCGGGCTCACTGGATCTCATGGTTGGGAGGATTCCGTCTACTCGGCAACGCTATTTCATTTATTTATTAATTGAAATATTTCTGCGCCAATTTATTTATTTATTTATTTATTCATTTATTCGCTAGTTTGTTCGTTCTCTCATCTTTTGATCCATCCATCCATCCATCCATCTACCTATTCATTCATTCATTCATCCATCCATCCATCCATCCATGTGTATAATTATCTATCCATCCATCCATCTATCTATTAATTCATTCATTCATCCATCCATGCATCCCATCATACCATCCATACCATTTCCTCCATGCCATGTCTCATCATCCATCCATCCATCCATCCCATCCCATTGCCATCCATTGCCATCATACCATGCCATACCATGCCATCCATCCATGCCATTCCATCCATCCATCCACCCATATCCTCCACCATCCACCAACCATCCATAACCATTGCCATCCATCCATCAGTGCCATCCACCATCCATCGCATCTATCCATCATCTATCCGATCCATCCATACATCTATTCATTCATGGCATTCATTCAATTCGTTCGTTCCTTCAACTGCATTCATCATTCATTCATGTCATTCATTATCATTTATTTCAGTGCTTCGTTGTTTCGTTCATTCAATATCATCTCACTTTAGTTCATTTATTCAATTCAGTTGCGTGTTGACGAGATTCATCGTCTGTCTAGTTACTATGATTTCATCTAATGAAGACCAGATGCTGAAGGACGACGTAAGCCAGGGACGTTCGATGAACAATCGAACGAAGACGTTCAAGATTCGCAAACCCGGCTGGAGCCGGGATTCAGAAGCAAGGTCCGTCATGCGGACATTCGGAGGCCGTTATCCGAAAGTGTGGGCATCCGACGGTAATATGACTCAATACATTCGTCTGCTGTCATTTCAGCGTTGCCGCGCCATGCTACGTGAAGATAGACTACTGTCCCTCCCGTCACTCGCACTCGCACCCTTAAAGGCCGTGTGGGGACCGCTCCCTAAGACAGAGCATAGAAAGATGAATGCGAAAAAACTTCAGCTTTTGCCAGAAACGCTGTGGCCCCGACAAACCGCACGGAAACGATAGCTATCATCTGTGGCTAAACAATTCCGGCACGGTTGCCGCTCTTCTATAAGCTTTCCTTGTAAAACAGCGGAACTGGCAAACATTTCTTGTCCTACGAGTCCGACAGAACGCTGCGAGGCAATCAGAGTCCTCTCCGAAGCGCAGAAACTCCACGCGGTGGCGCTTGCTGAACAATACAATCTACATAGTTGGTCCGTGCTCCATGTTCGCGAGCAACAGTTCTTCTACATACTGGCGCATTCATCACACGCTGTCCTTTTCGTTTTCTTTTTAAAACATTTTTTCTTTAAACTTCAATGTTTCAACACCAGGTGGAATGAAGATGGGGCGAAAAGGCAAGGGGAAGGTAGCTCGTCCAATGCGACAACGTGTTCCGTTACTCCCCGCAAGGAGGCGTCGGTGTCGCTACATTGCAAACCAATGAGAAACGACGCATCGCCATCACGATTGTGCGCCATGTTTGTCTCGTCTACGCCGTCGGAAGTCCAAGACGAGAGGCGAGTGATGCGCATAGCAGCATCCTGGTGGAGTAGGATGGAAGGAATATATGAAGAAGGACTGCTCATGACGACGATGCCTGTCATATGCAGTTTCCTCAGATCAGATATCATTATCTATCCCACAGTGTTAATTTACCACTGATGGTATCGTATCGTATCCGTTTACTGTATATAAATACATTGAAATAAGTAATAGTGTTGTCATAAATGGTCCATTTATAAACTTTTGTACACGATATCTACCTAAAAATGTTACACACAGCCCCCCCCCCACAGCACACACAGACACATTCGCGCATCGCACGCACGCACGCACACACACAACCACACAACACACACATACTCGCGCGCCCCGCGCGCCTCAGGACGCACGCACGCGACGCACGCACCACACACAGCAGCAGGTCCAGCATCACACACACATCGGCTGCCGCACGCACGCACGCGCACACACAGCAACACACACACCACACACACGACCCCCCCACACCACACACCACACACACACACACACACACATATATATACACATAACGGCGCGCGCACGCCACGCTACGAACGCACGCGACGAACGCACGCACGCGCGCCGCGCCTACGGCACAACACACACACACATCCACACACACACACATTGTGATATTTCGTTTCGTTGTTATTCAGAGTGCTCAAGCTCGGTAGAATGCTACAACCCTAGTACAAACACATGGCTTTCGTCGCACCTATGCAGCGCGCACCCTCGGCACTCTCGGCGTGCGTGGCCAATCAAGGCCCAGTCTTGATGGTGGTCGCCGGCGTCGGGGTTAACCCCGCGCCTGCGACACGGCATTCCCCATTACAAACTTCACGGTGGAGTGTTTAATCCAGACAAGAACATGTATCGGATCACGTCCACTCTCAACTTTCGCGCTGAACATTCAATCTTTAATACCATATAGCTTATATACAGTTATAGTTACATAGTTATACAGTTATAGTTAAACCAAATTAAGTTACAGGTAGTTATACAGTTAATAGGATACAATTATAGTTACATAGTGTATATCAGTTATATTTATAACAATTTAGTTTACATCTAGTTATTAAGCTTATAGTAGTACGAATTATAGTTACATAGTTATAGACAGTTATAGTTATATACAATTATATTACGATTAGTTATACAGTTATAGTTATACAATTATAGTTACATATTAACAGTTATAGTTATACAATTATAGTTACATAGAACAGTTATAGTATAGCAATATGATTCATAGTTATACAGTATAGTTATACATTATAGTTTAAATAGTTCATACATTTATATTTATACAGTTTAAGTATATATTTCGCATTATTGAATATCTATAAGTTATAACATTTATACAGTTCGGCGTTGATTTTTCAACCTATACCAATGCTCTTTCTAAACCTCTCCCCGAATACCTAAAACGAATCTATTCTTAATTTGTTCTTGTAAATTGCGATATATGATTGCTATCGCCTATTACAGTAACTGCCCTGGCTAACGCAACCACATTGCGAAGACCAAATTAAGAAAAATTTAGGTTCCATATACGGAGGCCCCGCGTTAAACTAGAAGCAGCATTTCATCCGCGAGAACTGATACTAAATCATGTACTTACCTTGGTTTCTCCCCCTTTTCTTACGTCATATGTGCGCTTGGACTCAGAAGATATTTTTTATGAAAGTGCATTCTCACACACAGATGGACTTCTATGAATCCCTGCGTGGTCCACGCTGCTGGGAGACCTTAGTAGAAAGCGAAGGCTGCCTTTACATCGGTAGGTGCGCCAACATATATCCTTCCCTCAGTGAGAACTCATCGCAGCCGTTGCAGATGTCGGACGGCGCCACGCCGACAACAGCGACACCTGGGTGTATCTGACAGATTAAAGCAGGCTTCGGACACCGAAGCGACTTGTTTCTGCCGAGGGTACGTAATATATTATATTCTATATTATTATATATATATAGTTTTAAATAAATGTATGTTGCGTGCGTGTGCGTGCGGCGTGCGTGCGCACGCGCGCGTGGTTTGTGTGCGCGGCGCGCGTGGTGTGTGTGCGCGCGCCGTGTGTGTGTGTGTGTAGAGAGAGAGAGAGAGAGAGAGAGAGAGAGAGAGAGAGAGAGAGAGAGAGAGAGAGAGAGAGAGAGAACAACAACAAAAAACATATACAACCTTACCTAAAAAACATCCACGCAAGATCTGGTTGTTGTCATGGTTTCCCTTATTCGCAGGCGCTCGCATCTACGTGTTCGGGGGCACGTGCTCGCTCGACAATAGGCCCGTGCAGCAGACGGAGTGTTACGACACGCATGCGCGGACATGGCTCGCAAACGTCAAGGACATTGTCGAGCCGGCGGTCGGTCTCAAAGGAATCGTATTCAAAATGGCCGACAAGCATCAGTCACTGGAGACGCGACAGGCATAGAGGGGTTTCCTCCAGAGAATAATATCGGACAATTAAGGCCAATTATTCGCTATATATTTATATATTCATTCCATTACTCGCGTGGCATTTTAATTTGCAGCTAGCGCATGTTTATTAAAATCTATACAGTCCTAGTAACAATATACCCGTTGTTGTCACATTGAACACGTTTGCACTGTAAAATGTTTATTTATTTCTAAAACGAAAAGGCTAGATACCATCACCTAAGCATTTGAAATAAAACGTACAACACAATGGTTTTCTAAAAGCTTTGTTAATGCTGAGATATATTAGCTACAGATCTTCCCACAGATTTGAAAATGTTTTAACCACGTGTGGAAAAAAAAGGCGGTGGGTATCGCTGCAGGGCTTTTAGAGGGTAGCGAAATTGTAATATTTCATGCCGTTACTTCCACGAATTGACATTCTGGATTAATATAAGAAATAAAAAATATCGAATAATATAGACCTATCTATCTAACCGCCTCACGCGCCTTGGAGATAAACGCAACTCTACATGCAGCAAGTGTCGGCTAGAGCAAATCTGAATAGTGTGCCTTGTTGAAGGGGACAGCAGGTATTGACGAGTGGATTCGAACCCCACACCTTTTAGCTCAATGTCAAGTTTGTTATCCTCGAAACCAACTCTGCCGCCTCCTCCGTCTGCTTTACCCGAATTTCACACAATGCAGTTATGAATTATTACTTCCGAGAGAGGGCGCAACGACGTCATACTTGATTTATGCGCATACTCACTGGGATAAGCCATAGTTCAAGTTCAAGTAATCTTTATTTATAGTCGGTATGTTAATACAACGAGAAACATAAGCTCTGAAGAGCTTTTAAGACCGACCAACTTAACAAAGGTTGGCCAATAAATAAAACAGTACATAACAATTTTAACATGCATACTATACAGGCATTCGAGTACATGAATAAATTTTAGGTATTGATATTTACAATTTACAATTTATAGCGTACTTACAAATTCGGCGTACATACGCCATAGTATAACCATAACAACAATACAAAATACTTTGTTTGTATATACCTATAATTATAACGTATTATTTCAACAAAATTCAATTTCATTTATTTGATAAAAGCTGAAAATACAGTTGCATACATAGATAGAATCATGCAGAATATTTACCTGGATGCCACTTAAGAACAGCTGGTTAGGAAGCGTAAGCTAATAATATTATATTATAATATATAATTAATTATATTATATTATAATATATAATTAATTATATTATAACACCTTGCACAACCACCTTTGCCGCAACGAACCGCGCTACCCTTTCTTCCTCATGGCCGTGATCACTTTGGACCAAATTCCTTAATTTCCAGTTATGTTTACTTTTGAAAATCCTAACACTGTTATGGTATGTTCTCACAGCTTGGTCTATACCTGAGAATATAATATAAATTGTTGTAATTTATGTATTGTTTTCGGCCGTATAATTAATCAATTATGTCTTTGAACTCATATCGAGTTTACATGTTTATTGGAGCACGTATGACACGCGTAATTTACTCCAATTAGCAATAGGGGTTGAATTGCCCAGGATGCTTCCTGAAACTCCTCGGGACCGTGTATCCGGGATACACGCTAGATAATCTAGTAGCTTATCGTCAGTTCATTCGTCTATCTAACATGTAGAATAACAAAGATAACCATGATAATGAAACACGTAAAAATTACCACACGTGAGTTAACCAACAGGAGGCGCTGGGGTGTAAAGCACTGTAGCATGCGGAGATATTGCCAGTTTGTGTATAACTATTAATTTATACCTTGGCTGGTAATAGAACACGAAATAACCCCTCCCTGTAGCTACCGACGTTGGCGCTACATTACATTTCCTCCACGATATAAGCCCAGGGTTTGGAATTTCCATGGTCACTAACTGCTAACTACTTTCTCTAATGACGTATCCTGCCTAGCTAATAGACTGGTGCTCGCTCCCATCTCTCGGCTTAGCACTACGGGCGAGTGCGTATTCGTGGGAACCAATCAGAGGAGGTATAATAAAAGCTCTTTGGGTGGCGTTTGTTGGAGTTTGGTTGCTATGCCGCGCTGCCGTTGTGTGGGTAGGCGAACACTGGACAAAATGACGGACTTGCGAAAAGTTTTGTATCCTCCCTCTCTTTTTGATTCTTTCTCTAACAGTGTACACAAAAACACGGTAGAAAATCGCGAAACTATAGGAGTATTGTGTGGTGTTTTAAACCAACAGGTATGTTTTCGTATAGGCGGCTATAACGCCCAACGGTCTTACTCTTACCAAGAAAACAAGGTCTAAATTAAAAGTGTGTCAAAATAAATAGAGCCATTACTATGAGTATTAGCGTTAGTCTTCTTTAGGGAGTAGAGCACACAGGTGCTAGAGAGTTCAGGTGTGTAAATTGGGTACCAGTAGAGTATAGAGTAATCCAACTAAAGGTTAATCGTGTTTTTAAATATTACACAATCTTGGCCCTCTGACCTCAGTATGACTATGAGTATATACATATGACAGTAGAGTGTATGACAGCACAGCTTCGCTCTTAATATACTAGTCTTATACTCTTTTGAAACTTGAGCCTCCAAAGGCCTGTGATGACAGTCACGATTTACACTATGTCACTAACATGGTTCCAACGAGAATTATAAATCCATAGTTTCAATAACAGGTAGGGAGAGATGTTAACATTCAAACCAAGGGTAGGTAGCAGTGGGAAAAATTATTTTACTTGAGTTGTACTTCAATTGAAGCTTAGAATTCTCTACCACAACATATTAGGACAACTAGTACTACGGTACCGCATATAATACTTAATAGTTAATGTTAATTGTATAACTATAATGTTAAAAAAAGTTTAATGGAAAAACTGAAGCATTAGAGGCAAGGGAGTTTGAATATCACTAGTTTATAAAATTGTAAGTAGTTTAGAATAAGTGTATGAATGGTGGGAAAAGTGTTAAGGGGCCCGTTTCACGAAGCTATTGTTAACATAGTAATGGTATAACAGGGGTAGAAATTAACTTTTGAACACAGGAGTCCAACGGACCACCCTCTACGACCTACCCTCAAAAAGAGGGAGTTCGCAGCAAAATGAGGGAGTCCGCAGTCTGAGGTTCAAAATTAAATATATTAACAATAACGCATACATGTGCTTATTTTTAGCTCACCTTGACATCGTCAAGCTGAGCTATTGCCATGGGTCGTCGTCTGTCGTACGTCCGTCCGTCCGTCTGTCAACATTTCGCTTCGGTCAACGATAACTCAGGAACTGAGCATCGTGTTTTTTTCATTCAAATCTCGTCGCACCAAGGCAGGCTAGTCTTATGTCCGAGTAAAACAATGCAAGCGACAGGTGGAAACAGAAAAATATCATTATGTCTAGACATTTAATAAAAAAACTTGCCCTATTTTCAGGCCCCTGATTTCCTATTCATAGTTCGTTTGTTCCTTTTGACAACATATTCATTCATGCATTCATTCCTTCATTCATTCATTCATTCATGCATTTAATCAATCATTCATTCATCCATTTATTCATTCATTGGTTCATTCATTCATTCAATCATTTATTTATTCATTCATTCATTTATTCAGTGCTTCGTTGTTTCGTTCATTCATTCATTAATTTATTTATTCATTCATTCGTTGACGAGATTCATCGTCTGGCTGGTTAACTACTATCTTATCTATGAAGGACCAGATGCTGAAGGAGACGAGCCCAGGCGTTCGAGAACAATCGACGAAACGTTCAAGATCCGCGAAACCGGCGGCTGGAGCCGGATCCGGAAAGGAAGCCGTCATCGGACTTCTGGGAGGCGTTAATCCGAAAGTGTGGGATCCGAGGTAATATGACGTCATATTCGTCTGCTGTCATTGTCAGCGTCTGCTGCGCCATCTACTGGAAGATAGACTACTTCCTCCGTCACTCGCACTCGTCACCTTAAAGGCCGTTTGTGGGACCGCTCCCTAAGACAAGCATTAGTCTAAGGATATGCGAAAAAACTTCAGTTTTGCCAGACGAGTGGCCCCCGACAAACGCACGGGAAGCGATAGCTATATCTGTGGCTAAACAATTCCGGCAGGTTGCGCTCTTATATAAGCGTTTCTTGTAACAGCGGAACTGGCAAACATTTCTTGACCTACGATCCGACCAGAAACGCCTGGCGAGGCAATCAGAGCCTCCCGGAAGCGAGAAACTACCACGCGGTGGCGCTGCTGAACAATACGATCTACATAGTTGGTCAGTGCTTCCATGTTCGCGTAGAAAACAGTTGTCTACATACTGGCGCTCATACACGCTGTCTCTTTTGTTTTTCTTTAAACAACATTTTTTCTTTAAACTTCAATGTTTCAACACCAGGTGGAATGAAGATGGGCGAAAGGCAAGGGGAAGGTAGCTACGTGCCCATCGACACCGTGTTCCGTTACTCCCCGCAAGAGGCGCGGTGGTCGCTCATTGCACCAATGAGGAAACGACGCATGCATCACGATTGTGCGGCCATGTTTGGTCTCGTTTACGCCCTCGGAGGTCAAGACGAGGAGGGCGAGTGAGTGCGCATAGGAGGCACCTGGGGTGGAGTAGGATGGAAGGGGAATATATGAAAGAGAGGAATTGCTATGACGACGATGCCTGTTCGATCAGTTTCCTAGATCAGATATTCATTATCTATCCCACAGTGTTAATTTACACGTGATGGTATCGTATCGTATCGTTACTTATATAAATAATTAATTAATAATAGTTTGTCATAACTGTCCATTATAAACTTTTGTACAAGATATGCTACTAAAAATGTACACCAGACGCCCCCCCCCCACACACACGCGCACACACACGCACGCACACACACACACACACACGCACGCACACACACACACACACACACAACACAACATAACACCCACACAACACACACACCACACACATGACTCCGAGCACNGTTTGTTCCTTTTGACAACTTGAAAAGGTGATTCAAGAGTCTCCTATAATGTGTTCAGAATAGCTTAGAATGCACCAAATTGCACCATTCTTTTAAAAAAATTACGGGGGAGCATGCCCCCGGACCCCCTTAGCATGGCGATGACCTACGGTCCTCGCATTGCTCGCTCCTCTGTTTGCTAATTTCAATTTCAGCTGAAAATTAAATTCTCCAATCTCATCCCTGTACATAGCAGCTACGTGGCATAAGCGTATCCTCTCAATCTTACACGTTACACATCGGGAGCTCCGCTTTTAGGCAGTGCCTAAATCTGAATATTATAAAAACGTTATTTGTGGTGAGCTACAGTGTCATTGACACTTTCATTAAGATTCATGCCGTTGCACATCTGCCAAATTTTCTTTGGACATTAGCTGAAAAAAATACGGTAATTCTGCGAGGCCGTTCTCCTGAACGAACTAGTTTAGTAGTTAGTATGGCAGAATTTTCAGGGAGTCGCACGGACTCCTGCATATGTCAAAGCAGGGAGTCGCACGGACTCCTGCATATGTCAAAGCAGGGAGTCGCACGGACTCCTGCATATGTCAAGGCAGGGAGTCCTACAGTAAATCAGGGAGTAGTTGACTCTGGACTCCCGTTAATTTTGCACCCTGGGTTAAAGAGAGGTTTTAGGATATATCCTTATATTTAGTGTGTTTCTCGAAAGCCTCGCTAAGTTTCCTCATTTTACAAACGTCTCACTAACACAATGATGTTGCTATTCAGGAGGAATTTTAAGGACAAGTCAGGGGCAGTACTTAGGCTATCGTACAGCAAGCCACGCAAGATTTCCCGCGTGTTTTCATTGTTTTGGCAAGCGGAGTGTGGCAAACTTTCGGCTCGCGGGAGCATATTGTGAAGAGAGAAGGCGCAGAGGGTGACCGATTTCGCGTGCTCGTGTGTCTCGTTCTGTGATACTCGCGTACTGTGTGCGGTATTAGAGATGACCACATTGGTGAGAAGCTCTTAGCAAAGGAAAGCTTAGACCTCACAAAGTGCCACTGCACCCGATCTTGCTATTTATACTACGACATGAACAAGGAGATCATGCACTATACAATGCGATGCGTCTGAGAAAGGTCTTGGAGCAGCACTACTGCATAAATAAAATGAAAATTTGTGTATATCCGTCTAAGAAAATATAGAATATCATGTTTATCATTCTAGCCCATTGTTAAGTACCGTAGTTCTATTATGTCATATTGTATAATAGAAAAAATCACCTACTATGTTTGCTCAATAAGTAATAGACATTTCTTAATCCTTTAGTTAATTACAATTATTCTTTTTCTATTGCATTTATTCTAGGAGAATCTGTTTGAGGTTACCCACCTCATACTACCAGAGCAAGTTGGTGCGAGTGACCATTGCCAAGTAACAGAACTTGGGGAACGGCAGGTTCTGGATATAATTGAAAGCAACAATATTATATATTTAGGATGGATTCATGTAAGTCTATAATTAACCCTTTTATTATATTATAATGATATGTATAATATATTGATACATAATTATATATATCAGGATTAGACTTAGAATTAGGACTCAGAATTAGGAAAAATTATTTGTTTGTAGTGCAAATTGCATGACAGGCAACTGGAATTAGAAATTGTCTTGCCTGCATATAAAGTCTATTACAAGTGCCATACACCATTTTATTGTCCTTCAAAACACCCACTTGTTCTTTACAAGGGGCCGACATCTTGTAAGACCTGTCACTGTATATTTAACCTGACCTGATAAACAAAATTTGATAATTTAATATAATTATATATCATTTACACTATGTATACTGTTATATGTACATTATAATATATATTCTATCAGGAGTTAATAAAGACAAATTTGTCTTTATTAACTCCTGATTCTATGTACACTATTTTATCGTTTCAGACTCATCCCCAATTTGATGTGTTTATGTCCTCTGTCGACCTTCATAATCATCTGGGACAGCAATGCCTTCTGGCAGAGGCATTTGCAGTTGTTGTCAATCCAAACATGTCAGTATCACAACCCAATAAATGCTAAAGTTATTCTTGAGTTAGGTGGATCCAAAAAGTGTAATTTCACAATCATCATGATGTGTAATATTTTTAAAGCTGTAGTTTTAGGTGTGTTTAACAGTCTGTAATATATATCATGAAATTGGCATTTTTAGAGTTGTACACATATTCCCATACTCAGTGTTATGTCTTATGGTATCTGTACATGTCTTATATACACTGTCCTCTCTATTTGAAATGCAGCGAAGAACCCCGAGTTGGTCTGTTTCATCTTACTGAATGTGGGCTGCATGGTCTTTCACAATGTCAAGATAGAGGGTTTCATGAGCATGAAAATGGCGCAACATTTTACCAGGTGTGCTATTTTGCTCAAATTGATTCATTGTAGGAACTACTAGTTATTGTAACCAATTCTGGTCCTACATGCTCAGTAATCTTGCAAGAATATCGACTGGCTTGTTCTGGCTATTCAGTATTCACCATCAATTAAATTGTTGACTGATGGGAGATTTGCCATTCATCAGTATGTTTCTAGTTTTTATTTATTAGCTCACCTTGACATCGTCAAGCTGAGCTATTGCCATGGGTCGTCGTACGTCCGTCCGTCCGTCCGTCAATTTACCGATATTTTCAGCCTGCTGATTGCTAGGTCATCGCCTCAAACTCCACATCGAGCACAGTGCAGGTCACCGTGCAATCGCAACGAGTCAGCAGTGTCATCAGCCCCAGAAGCCAGCATCGAGTTAGCGAGCAGCCCAGCTAGATCACCGCCAGTGGAGCTTGCAGGTCGCAGACTGTCAGACGGTATACCACAAGAGATCCATCTCCTTATACTTGTAGCTTGTTCGAACCTTTATAAAAATTTAATTTTTATATAATTTTTTTTAATAAAATGTGGTTTTATGTTATTAGTTGAATTTTATAACCTACATTACAGCCTTAATTCTGTATGTAAGTGGATCATAAGCTACATAATATGGATAAGGGTTCATTAATAATAAATAACGTACGAATGTAAGAGCAACATAAAATGTAGCTATTTTCAATATTCAAGTGAGAAAACTAATTCAATACCTCAAATAATTGACAACTTGCACAGGGTGTAATTTTTGGCTAGAGCAACAATGCTGGGCCACCTGCAAAAAAATCCATGATAAAAATAAAAATGAAAGTGCCAATGACACTGCTAGCGGCTCACCACAAAAAATGAACACAAAATGAGTGAAGGAAGAGAAGTCAGTTTTAATAGAGCAACCATGCGACGTACATTATAAAACGATTGCCATCTGTATATCGACAATAATAATTTATAAACCAAAATCAAATCACCAATTTATGACCATGTAGCATGGCGCTACACCGCTTTGTAGCGGATGGCATTCGAAAATAACAGCTTATGCTGCTCCACCCGTTCGACATGTTTTTTGTAAATCTTTACTCTAATATAGACGTCTTTATCGGCATAGGTGGAGAGAAATACCAATTTTGCATAAAGATATTGTCAATGAAATCTTGCTAAGACGAACCAGACGAGTGTGGACACCACAGACTGTTTGTGTTTTATTATTAATATGCTATATAATCCCAAACTCTACCTAATTTGCCATAATTTTTTTTTTTTAAATATCGAAACGCCCTAGCCCTTATCTCATTCACATACCAAAATGAGCAAAATCGTTGAACCTGAAACTGGACTAATGGAGATTTCCCATTTTTTGCCAAAAATCGCCGTGGCTCGAAAGTACGTCGACTGGCCCGTGCATTGCAAAATAGCGACGTTTCCAGTATGGGAGCATAGCAGAAACAAGCTACACCCCATTTCAAACAATGGTGGGTCAAACGGTCCTGAGTTATCGTGACCGAAACCAAATGTTGA